CCCAAATAATAATACCGCTAACATAAAGCTGCTATGAATTAATTACGAAAATATTTTTATAACCAAACTTCCAACATTCATTTTTATTGAAAAGCTGTGATAAAAATGTGTAATAACTAACTTTTTCTGTATAAAAAAATTAAAAATTTAACTTTATCACTTTTTTCAGTTGCCAAACCGATTAACTCCATCAGTCATATAAAAACTATATTGAACAGTGGCAATAAAATTTTTCCATTTTTTGACACTCGTTGTCCATACTACCGATTGTGATTATTGGATGTGACGTATGTGGATCCAGCTAAAAGTGTTTTTAAAGGCTTCGGTGGTATATTCAACAGTGGCAATGAAATTTTTCAGATGCGTAACATAAACTGATTCGCCTTTGTACTTGAAAGGAAGACAACAGGAATGAAGGGATGTTTAACTTATTCCAGTGTGAGAGCGCCTCAAAATTAGCGTTTTTTATAACATTTTTCAGTGTAGCCAGATCAGAAAAAAGCTATTTTTTAGGCATTTTAAATAAAACACCCAATTCGCATTTTCCACACCACCTATAAGGTATGCAAAAGGGCGCGTTACCGAAGTTATTTTTGGGTGCTCGGTTCCCCAGTAGGCCTATATCACCCATTAAATTTTATTTTATTTATTTACATAAAAAAATTAAAAAACAAAACGATAAAAATTCATATTGTATAAGAAATTAACAAAAAACAATATCACTCCATATCACAGCATAATAATAAAGTGTAATACTAAAAACTATAAAAATAAACGTATGTACATATGCCAATATTTATGCCCCAAATTCTAATTTGTAATTAATTACTTTCTAATCATTATCGTTCTAAGCTTACAGCGAATCTGCTTAAAAAAACTTATTTTAGTATTAAATATTTACCTCATTGCAACCACTAAAAAAGGAAGATAAAAACTACAAATGTGAAACACACAAAATTTTATTCTTAAAACTTGGTACAGTAAATCTTTATTTAAAAATTTTCTCAGAAAATAAATTCTAATTCTAATAAATAGGGCAATAACCACCTTTGGGTCACAGTCTTCACAACACAAGAAGGTCCTAATATCTTTTAATTTAGAAAAAAGAATTTCTCCTACACCTATTTTATGACAATTTCTGTCAAATTCCTCGACAAATTTTATTTCTAAATTATTAATAAATGCAACAAACTCTTCAGGCGGCTTCACTAAGTTGCATTTATCGATCTGGTTTTGGTGTATGAATATGAATTYATCCRAAGGAATTTCATCTCCTAAATAAGGTAATGGCAGAAGGCATGTGTGCATTTTAAAAATTTTCAAATAAAGGTAGGTTTTTTTAAGATATTTACGTAACGTAAGCCCCCCGACTTCCTAAATAAACTAGAGAACATGAAAAGTGTAACTCTAGTACCTCCCCTACTTTTGATCTGATCAAAAAAATGATCTGAGCTGTCCTGACATAGTCGTCTTGTCTTTAGGTAAGGAAATCCTGAGTGTAACAGCAATCGCTACAATCGTCTTAAACTATTAATATTAATAACCCACCCCTTGATAAAATTGAAATTATGTGTTGTGTTGTTCCCTAACTCATCTACGACCCGAATTGTTTTTAAAACTTTTTCTGCCTCATCTGAAAACTGGTTTTGCTCTGGGAAACTTATAAAAACTTTTTTAGTGGGTACAATGGCCTCAGTGAAGCTACTATTAAAGATATCAAATAATTTATTGAAAAAAGAAGCGAAATCCGCGGTATTAATAAAGCTCATRCTATTTGAGCTTAAGGCTCCCGAGCCTTAAAGAGAAAGCATACCTGAAGCGACCGTATTACTTAACACTTGAGACGCGAATTTAACTTTCATTTTTTGAAAGGTATTGGGGTAAATATGAGCATCGGTTAATTGATGCGCACACCGATAACTCGACTTAGAGTCCTGTTTATAAAAATGGACTATATCTGACCAACATACGCGACTATTTTTAAAATAAACTTTATTTTTCATATTTTGTAAGCAGTTTCGGCTAAATTTTAATAAGTGGGGGCTTCGTCAAAAAAAAAAAAAAACATATTTCCTTTATTTTTATTTAACGTTGAAAAAAGGCCGTGACATTGAAACACCTAACAATTTAGCTAAATTTTGAAAATTTGTACCCTGGTCACAAACAAAATGGCAAGGAACTAGCCCTTTTTTTTGAAGTTGGGTTATGGCTTCAAGAATATATTTCTTGAGGACATCCCTTTTATAAGAGCCTCTAACAAAGAAATAAGCTAACGGGTGGTACCAAGGTTCCCCACCTGTACCTTTCACCATTATGGTCATTGCAGTTGTGGCTATTCTAGATGTGCGATTTTCATCGCCATAATCTTCAAGACCTATCACCCTATCAAATTTCCTATCATACTGCAAATGACATTTTAGTGACATTTCATCACAAGAAACTGATACGAACTTTTGTTCGAAAGAAAATTCCTTACTCCTAATTTGTAAAGACTTTATGCTGCCTTGGGTGCAACCTGGGAAACGAGGCCAATCTGAGACAAAATTATGTAACGTAATTTTCGAGGGAAAACTAAGTTGGTGCTTTAGGTAGCGGTAATCGATTGGCGACAAAAAAACTACACCCAAAGCTAAAGTTTTAAGAAAACTATCATATCGGCGACCGTGACTTTGGCGATTACTATTTAAAAAACTACTCCTAATACAAGCACCTAACTGATGAGGAACTTTGTTGCAAACTATCTCAAGAGGATCTGACTTTTCCCTAAATGAACTAATTCTTAACATTTCCCAACATATTTCTAATTCAGTTGCCATTTCGACCAACTGAGCTTTTAAACTCCTATTCTCCTGTTCTTTTTAATCTAATTTTATTTTTAAAATCCTATTCTCTTCCCTCAATTTTTTTTCTATCTGTCTCTGCTGTCAGACCTCTACCTGTTTGCGCGGCTTTTTCACTACTATTTAGTAGTTCCTCCTCAAGAAGTGGCAGAGGCTCTAAAATATTATCGCGGTCTTCCCTTTCTAAAAGTGGAAGCAGCTGCCTCGATTCACCGTTTGCATTTGAGGCAGATCCTTCCATTTGGGGAAAAAAATCTTCAATGCCCATTTCAATAGTATTTTCATAAAAAGGATTTGAGGCGTTAAATATTGGCTCAATAAATAAATTCATATCCGGAGCGGCTCTCGGACGCAATTTTTTTGCGTAACGCATTTCATTAGAAAAATGTCGCTCACACGCAAAAATGTATTTAGTTGTTTTTTCATTTACATCTTCAAAAACACCTAAACGTTTGAGCCAACATTTACGCCATTTAAAAGAAACAAAATAAAATACGAAATGTTATATACTACATAAATATGTATAATAATAATAGTACAAAAAGTGCATATTTAATGAATATTTAAAAGTACGATTTTTTTATAAATCATAAATATTCAATGATAAATCGTTGCTTTAAAATAATTAATTTAATTAAATAACGRCAATGGCAATAAATTGACAGTTACGCTCTGAACATGTAGATCGCGACAGACTGCGAACGACATCTGTCAAATATTAAAATACACACGTTCTTATGGACACAGTTATGTAGTCGTGCAGCTGCCTCAATAACTCTGTCCATAGGAACGTGTGTATTTTAATATTTGTCAGATGTCGCTTACAGTCTGTCGCRATCTACATGTTCAGCACATCACACTTAAAAATACCCGGAATTTCTTTTTCATTATACAAAATTAATATTTTAATCGCACAATGGAAGCACTTATTTCATCGAAATTTTTACTAAGTCACAAACACTTTTTGCACTATTTAACGTTTTTTACTCACCGTTCGAGATCCGTTCCACTGTTTGGAAAGGTAAATATTCTGCCTCCCTCGCCTGTTTCGCATTCGGTATTCTTCGAAATAATGCCGTTACAAATGGAAACAAAAAAAATGAAAAATGTCTCCAATCGAATAAAAATTTGGCAATAGTGCCAAAAGAAAATCCCAAAAAGGGTAATAAAAACGATTGAAAAACGCATGTCATTAGCGCTCATACAACAAGAAGTTAAGTGAATGAATTTTATGTGATTTTTTTAAACTAATTTGCAAATAATTACTTCATTTGCTTTTATAGCATTGGAAATCAGAATAAATAGCAAATAGCAGCAGCAGCAATATCATCAAAAGCAGCAAATATCAATTGTTAAGCTTAGTATCCAGCTCTCAAGAAATGTAAAAACTTCATATAAAAAACGCTTAAGAAACGGTCAAGTAACTGTCCTGCGATAAATTTACTTGCGCTAGTATGCAGCTTTACAGAAATCTTGTACTAATTTTTAATACATTTTTTCAATAAAATGCGAATATGGCAAACCAGGTTTTGCGAAGAAACATGAAATCCACAATTGTTTCTTGAAGGAAATTCAAAGTAATCGTTAAATTCATCCTAAATTAGTTAAATTCATTATTATTAAGTATATTTCTTTTTGAAATGTTGTATAAAGCTTAAAAATCATCAACAAAATTCCTTAAATCGCAATGAAAAAATTTATGTTACAACACACATACACACATACATATTACGCACAAAGTTATTTTCTTTCGTCTATTCTCTCTTGCTCTTCTATTGTGGATCATTCACAATGCGTAACCAGCCGTCAAAATTGCTTGGAGAAATAATGCATTTTGTTTCTTGAGCAATTACTTGAGAGCTGGATACCAACCTTTAAGTAAGTACATATGTGAAAATAAGTGTGTGTTGTTTGAAATTGGACTGCGCAGTCCAATATAATACGCAAAAATAAATGCATACATACATATGTGTGTATTTTATGCGTTTAAAGGTTATGTTCCAGCTCTCAAGTAAATGCTCAAGAAATTACCGGTATTATTTCGTTTGTGTGAAATAGTAGTTAGAAAGAAAGTTTGACATTTCATATCGCACCGTGAATGTTAAATAGTAGAAGAAGAGTGTGAAAAACTAATTAAACAGAAAATATATTTGAGCAAGAGCAATTAGTAAGTTCCCATTATGCATATTTAAATTTTTGTAAAAATATCATGATTAATTATTATTATTTAATTTTCAGGTGGTCCTGGTTAGTATCCATCAACAACCAGTCAAAACTAGCAAGGACATATGGTGAGTTGTTCTTTGCTGCTACCAAATCTTGCTTCTTTAAAATGTTGTTGAATCGATTCCATGTTTTGTCATTTTGACTTCCGCTAAACGTCCAACTACTTGTGGTGGGCTTTGGATTCTGTAAAATACACAAACAAAATATAAAACATGCACATTATATACATCCTTTTACATGCACATTATATAGACTTACATAATCATATTGCGGAACACTTAACACCTTCACATTCGCTCTATTTATAAGGGAAGTTGAATCAAAATCTTCAACTGTTGGACCTGTGAAAGTTCTGCGAAAGTACAAAAAAAAAAATATGCATGAAATCTTAAAATATTATTTCTTTTGTGTGATATATTTGGCAAAAATACCATTTCTTCAGCAAACTCCCGATCAATCGTGTCTGAAGAAAGGGCTCTTTGGCGTGATATCGTTAGCTCTCCCAAATCCATCCAGCTTTGCACTCACTAACTAAATAAACATAAAAAATAAAATCAAGTTAAGAGATTCATAAAATAAAACTTTAATTTATATACACTTACCAGTTTTGCCAACCGAATTGCTTATGTTTACCCAGGCCTGCTCCGCAGCATTTTTATTCGAATGCATAACGTTTGTTATGTCCCATATTCGCGGCCACTCTTCCACTTCTTTAATTAGTTGTCGTTTTTCAYCTGGTGTGAAATTAGTTATTCTCTTTTGCCGCTTTGCTACAGATATTAATTCTTCCATTTCCAAGGATTAAAGAAAATAACATAAAAAATTCAAATAAAACTACAAACTTACTTCTTCTTCCCACTAAATTTGCGCCAGAAATACATATATAGAAACTGCCATGTTTCTTCGCAAAACCAGTGTTACCTATCCACAATTTATAAAATAAAAGTAGTAAATATAGTTACTGAATTTTTTGAGAGCTGGATGTTGCCACAAGAAAATTTKACACCAGAAAACTTCTTGATAATTTTTTAAGAGTTTTTTGCTTTTCTTGAGAGCTGGAAACACACTTTTAATTTGAAATATCTTCCGACAATACTCTACAATGTTTAATAAAGCAATAAGCGGGATTGCATGAACTAAGTAAGCAAAGGCACAAACATTTATCAAAATTATAACATTTAATATACAAGTTTACACAACAAATATTTATTTCAACATAACAACAACGCAACAATGTCGTTGTTAAAATTCAACAACATACAGAAATTTGTTAGAACAAACATCCGCTGCAATTCCCAGAATCAATGATCCATAAATAATATTGAAAATAAACATCACCACTTCAATATATTGTAAATTCTGCTGACCATTCAACATCCGCTAAACTCTAATTATATTCTTAGAACTTAATTGATGAAGAAATCAGTGTTATCATTCATAAAAATATGRTGTTAGTTTATATCGATATCATGCTTTTAAATTATATTATTATTAAAATTATATTATATTAAATTATATTATTAATAATTTAAATTATACCGCCACTCTAAAAGCTGTTTAATGCAATGAAATACGTGCAGATGGAGTTCATAGCGGAATGGGCAGTGTTGTTCAGTGAATCAAAAAAGTTTTGGCACACCTCAGTTTTTCCACTTTGCTTCAATATAACTTTTAATTACCTGAACATACCAAACAAAAAACATATTTGTTTAAATTGTTTTTTTAATACATGTAATATTTCATGCAAGTAGTATTAAGAAAATAATGAAAAAGAGTCATATTCATATCAAAAAGATATTGGCACAAAATATAAAAATGGTATATGAAGAAAAATAAATTGAAAATTTTTAATATTTTGTTGCACCTCCCTTGGCTTTAATAATCGCTTGCAAACCCTTTTTCATACTTGCGACCAAATGGGAAGTCTCCCAACTGGTAATATTGACCCATTCTTACTTCAGAACATTTTTAAGGTATTCTTTTTTCCAAGCAAATACTAAATATGCTCAATGGGATTGAGATCTGGGGTTTGTGCAGCTTTCGCGCAATGATTTTTTTTCCAGGTATAGATTCAAAATAAGTTTCCACACTTCAACGGTTATCTCTTTTCCGCGACCCATTTTGTTCAATCTATGTCAAGGCATTATTAAAAGTCAATTGCTCTAATTATTCATTAATATGCAGTATCTAACAGCAGTTACCAAAAACGGGATCAAAGTGAACTAAAAGAGGAATGTGCAAAAAACATGATGTGTGGCAAAACTTTTTTGATGTGTTTCGCTGTTTTTGACTTCTTTTCTAGGTTTGGGGGAGTAGGGGGTGAGTGTAACGGTATATTTTCGCTTGCAGTTTGTTTTGTTTCTACCGGTTACACTATGTAAAAAAATAATTAAATGAGATTATATTTAGTTGCTTTTTAACTATCTTCCTTTAGAAAATCAAAGTGCGCCAACATTTTTTTGATTCACTGTATATACCCGCTGTCATTATTGAAGTTTTGTTATTGTTTGCTGTTTAATATGCAACACAGATAAAAGTATACAGTAAGTATTACTTGCAATATTGTGATCGTAAAATTCGATCGCATAATTGCATCTGTATTATTTGAAGTATTGTAAAATTTGTTTGACACTTGGATTAGGAACATGATTGTACATAGCAAAAAGAAAATTTGTTCTAATCCGTCCAAAAAGCCAGCCTCCCGTAAATATCGTTTATTTAGATGTATTCCGAGCCTTAACATAAGAAATAACAATGAAAGACRTTTTTTAGATTCTAAATCAGGCAGTGCATTACGTCTGTTTCCGAATGACCATTTACGGAAATTTAGCAATGCTGATCAGAATTCTTTACTGTACACAAAATATCGCAAAGAAGTCATAAAATATAATCCTTCCTTTATTAAATCGCAAACACTAGAACAAAGTCAACAATCTTCGGATCAACCTAGTAGTAAGGGTTCAACACACGGAAATTTCGTAATCGAAGACTCAATATTTCCTCCAGAAAAATACATTTAATCCATGTATTGATAACACTGGTTTACAGCAAAAATGTTCCATGAACGCAACTATCCAATTTGTATATGGAATCGCTCGCTGATTTCGAAAATCGAATAAATTTTTAAGCTATTGCATAGCTTTTATCGCGGGCCACGGGGACCGAATCCAGAAATTCCGTAACGAAAAAACCTCACGCTTTGTCTGTATGTTTACGAAATCAAATGCGAGCCATATACATATGTATGTACAATAACAAGTGTCGCACGTTTTTTATTGTGTTCTGTGTCTCACGTACCCAAGAAGATGAAGAGTCATAAATATATGTATGCATACTCCCAACAACATCATTGTGATATTTTCATGGTTCAATTTTTGCTTTCGCAATGTATGCAAATATGTATGCTGGAGCGCGACAGATATGAGAATACACACGTTCTTAGGGACACAGGTATTGAGGCATTTGCACAACTACATAACTGTGTCCCCAAGAACGTGTGTATTT